GACAGACTAGGAAGAAAGAGTGATGAACTACTTCCGAATCGCTAGTCACTGAAAACTCTATGAATAGCAGAGAAACAACGTTCAATAGACTCCTGTAAACCCAGGTGGCGACCTGGTTGGCCAGCAGTGTGTGGCAAGATCTGGGGACTCTTGGGCCCAGAGTCAGTGACACAGCCACAGAAAATATATGCACAAGAACACCCACACTTGCAGATAATACCCACTTGACCTGGCTTCAATGACTGGATGATCAGAGCTCAACTACACCTGTGGATGCAGTAGCTCAAAAGAGGGAACGAAACTTTACAGCAAGGATCATTCCCACCCCTTCCATACAGAGTAGACAAGGATGAGCAACTTGGACATTGGCTACCCAATATGGGGGTGGGGGACTACAAAGGCAAGAAGTGACTGGCTTTCAAGATTTTAAGAGGGAACCTAAAAAAGAAAAAGGAAAAACAAAAAAAGCTTGTCAATTAGTTTGTTGAAATATCTACTTCTTCCTGAAAAACCAAGAATTCTGAACTGAATAAACTGGTCACACCTAGCTGCTAACAGGTAGGTTGGGGGTATGGGCCACCCAGAAAAAACTTACAAGAAAGGCCTGGTCATTTACTTCTGAAACATAAGCCATTGAAAAATCTATGGATCACATTTCTACTCCGACACACATGGAATCACCATGACTCAGACTGGATTGAATTGGCTTACTGGTAATCTAGCAGACTAGGCCAAAAACCAGTTGCAGAGTGTTTCACTGAGTTTCAAGACTGTGACTTTTTAGAAGCAGATTGCCAGACCTTTCCTCCAAGGTGCTTCTGCATGAGTTTGAAACAGCAAATTTTCTGCTAGTAGCCAAGTTTTAACCATTTGCCAACCTAGTCACCTCCTTAAGGGCAGTGGCTGTTGTGTGCCATGGGGTTGACTCTGACTCATTGTGACCCAGTAGACAAGGTACAGCAAATTGCCAGATCTTTTCTACTGTGGACTGCTGAGTGGGTTTAAACTGCCAACTTTCTGGTTATCAACTGAGTTCATAACCATTGCCCCAACAATGCTCCTTCCCACCCAAGAAAATCCTAGGGAGCAGATCTCCATGAGTCCAAATAGACTTGAAAGCGTGGGTTTTTTGTTTGTTTGTTTGTTTTTAGTACTCCTGGTGTGGCACTGCAGAATCAGCACTGGACTGTGAACCATAGTTTGGCAGTTCAAACCCACCAGATGCTCCTCGGAAATCCTGCATAAGGTTTATATGAGTCGGAACTGACTCGGTGGCACTTAACAATAATAGCAACATTCCACATAAATAAAGGATCTTTGGAGTTTTCCAATCTGTATGCTGAGCAAATAATCCAAGAAGGCTCTGAATAAAAACCTGACACTGGTGTGGTGCTGTGAGTTAATGCACTGGACTGCAAAGTCAGTTTGAACGCAAGGTCAGTGGGTCAAGCTTACCAGCTGATCCTTGGAAACCCTATACAGTTTCACTGTGGATTGGAACAACAGCAACAGGATGAGGAAAGGCTCATTAACAACGTGTGAATGCAGATGACACAACCTTCCTTGCTGAAATCAAAGAGGATTTGGAAACACTTGCTGATAAAGATCAAAGATTACAGGTTTTAGTTTGTAAAAAATCAAATCAAAACAAAACTTCCAACTAGACCAATAGATAACATCATGACAAACTGCTAAAAGATTGCAGCTGTCAATTTAGTTTCTTATTGTTCCGGTGAAGGTAGAACCCCCCACTGAATAGTTTTCATCTTGTCTAGAGGGGTCATGCTGGGTAGGGTGGAGGGTCAGAGAAAAAGAGGAAGACCCCCAACGAGATGGATCAGCCAGGTGGCATCATTGATGGACTCAAGTGTGGCAGCGGTAGTGAGGTTGGCCCAGGATCGAACATTGTTTCGTTCTGCTGTGCATGGGGTCGCTATGAGTCGGTTCCGACTCGATGGCACCTGACAACAACAGAGGGGTCTGGTCAAAGGAGATGAGGATATGATTCTTACGATTCAATAGTGAGTAACTGTTGTCATGACAAATTGCAATTATCACCACTGTAGAAGTTTTGTAACATAAAGGGAGAAGTAGTTAATCTTACAGTCCAGTAACAGAGAACCATCAATGGAGAAGAGCACAAGCGGAATGTGGGACCCTACGCAGAGAAGCAGTGACACCAGAGATGGAGGCAAAGATGATGACATGGAGAGATAGAGCAGTTGAGGACTCCAGACTTAGGAAAAAAGAAAGGTTGTGTGTTGGTGGCCAGGAGACAGGCTTGCAGAATGTGTCCTTTGGTTGTTTAAATTATTTTACATTCCTGATTGTTTCTGTGTACATTAAAACAACAACAGCAACAACAAAACACCATAGAGGGAATAGAAGCAAATACTATTGAATGATGATACATGGAAGGGATTGTAATCATTGCAATGAAACTAAATACAACAAGATGAGTGTAAAACTGATGGTCTTCCATGTAAATTATCACTCCATTCACAATAAAAACTTAAAAAAAAAAAAAGATTTCAGCAGTCAGAGATTTAATTATAGTTGGTTCCACAATCAATGCTCATGAAAGCAACAGTCAAGACGTCAAATGACATATTGCATTAGGCAAATCTTCTAAAACTTTCCCTTGAGGTTTTAGCTAAATAACAGGTTGTCTCACAAAATAAAAACACCCCACCATCAACGGAGAAGAGCCAAGAGTGGGACCCTACCCAGAGAAGCAGTGATGCCTGAGATGGAGGCAGAGACAATGATGTGGAGCGATGGAGCAGCTGGGAACTTTAGACACAGAGAGGGAGAGCTACTGTGTGCTGAAGATGGGGGTGGGGAGGTAGGGGGCAGGCTTGCAGGGTATACCCTTTGGTTGGTTGATGATGCTTGGAGGGGACTGTAACCATGGCAATGATACAATACACGATGAAATGAATGTAAAACTAATGTTCTGCCATGCAAACTATCATATAATTCACAATAAAACATTAAAAAAAAAAATCCCATGGGAGAACTGTGTCCTTGTAACTTGTTAGTGAGATCCAGATGAACTGTAGAGTTTAGTTAACATGATAGTTCAAGGTTCTGTGTTTACTTGTGACAAATATACCACGTAAGATGTTAACAATACTTGTAATTGGATGTTATTGTTGTTGTTGTTAAATGCCGTTGAGTCGGTTGTGACTCATGGTGACCCTGAATAGGGTTTCCAAGGAGCAGCTGGTGAGTTTGAACCACCGACCTTGTAGTCAAGTGCTTATGTATGTACTTACTATCTTTGAAACTTATTGGTAAATCTAAGCATTGTCAAATTAATTTTGCTTGGATCCACAATTAACACTCACGGAAAAGAACAGTCAAGAAATCAAATGACAGTGCATTATGCATATCTGCTGCAAAAGACCTCTTTAAAGTGTTAAAGAGTAAAGATGTCACTTTGAAAACTAGGTTGTGCCTGACCTAAGTCATGGTATTTTCAGAACTCATATTTTTGTGCATAAGGAAGATGTGAGGAGAAATCAGGGTATTTGAATTACAGTGTTGCTGAAGAATACTGAAAGTACCATGGACTGCCAGAAGGAACAAATCTGTTTTGGAAGAAGTACAACCAGAATGTGCCTTGGAAATCAGAACGGTACATTTTTTTCTCCGGTACTTTGGACATGTTATTCAGGAGGGACCAGTCCCTGGAGAAGGGCATCATGCTTAGTAAAGTGGAGGGGCAGCAAAGAGGAAGATCCCCAACAAGATGGACTGACACAGCGGCTCAAGTACAGGAACAACTGAGGAGGATGGTACAGAACTAAGTAGTGTTTTGTTCTATGAGTCTGAACCAACTGGATGGCACCTAACAATAGCAACAATGTAAAGATTGTCCCTGGGTGGTACAAATGGCTAAATGCTTGGCTACCGACTGAAAGGTTGGCAGTTCAGATCTACCTAGAGGTATCTCAGAAGAAAGGAGTGGCAATGTAGCCCTGAAAAACCAGCCACTGAAAATCCAAAGTACAGTTCTAGTCATACATCGGGTTGCTATGAATCCGTGGCATTTTTGTTGTTGTTGCTGTTATTTTGTTTTAATTTTAAGAATGAAAAGAATTCCTAACACAAATAAAGTTTGGGGATTTATTGTCTTTGGAAGTGTTTAGAAAAGTATGTGTACACTCAAGTAAGGTCACCTCCTCTACAAAGCATTTCCAACCCTTCCCAGGAACAGAGGATATTTTGTTTGTCCGGTCCCACAGCATCTTACCACGATGTTATAATTACTTTATCTGTCTTGGCACACTCAATAGACCTTCCAGTTTGCTTAACCGTTGAATACTATCTTAATAATAACTAGACCACTTAAAAGTTCCCCCCACTAATTCCTCTGCATTTAATTTACTAAAAGAGTCACTAATAATTCTAAGGTTAATTCATTTGTCTGACAATGTCACTGTCAAGGCTATTTATCATGGGCATTTCTTTTCTTTTAAAAAACATTTTATTGTGTTTTAAGTGAACGTGGACACAGCACATTAGTTTCCTATTCAACACATTATACACATTTTGTTCATTGTCTTGGACACTTCTCCGCATCGACGATGTTCTCTGCAGAACTGCGGTTACAACCTGACTCCCAAGTTCACTATCAGAAGGCGGGTTTGACCCAGAAGGTCAGCCACAATTTTGACGCACCCAGAGAACTGTGTCAAAGGGCGCAGCCCCAGCTGGTGCAGCCGCACCCAGGTTACCCACCTGCCCCCCCTCTCCGGAGTTAAGTCTTCAAAATTCAGGCCCTTGGACCCCAGTGAACTTTTGCTGCAAACTCTCTTTGCACTTTCCATCTGGGGGTCAAGTTCAGGAACCTAGGCCTTCTGCCGCCCGCCGACCAGCTTCAAGCTCTGGTGGCGGCCGTTCTCATCTCTTCCCCGTCCCACCTCATTTCAACACCCCCAGGAAGGGTGGGCGTCTCCGCACCCGTCTGGCAGTCTCACACAGCCCGCACTCACCTCGCGGTCGCTGGTGACCACAACGCAGAGCAACCGCCCCAGAGGCGCCAAGACCCGCGGAGTAGACGGACCGCCATGGCTATGACTGCTAGGGGCGGGCAAGGAAGGCTGCCTAGACTCCCAGCAGCCGGCTCCTGCAGGCGGGGCGCAGGGCGGGCTATCTGCCGGGCCAGCCTACTGCGTACTCACGCCAACCAAGGTGCCGCAGCTACCCGCCGGGTTCAAGTCTCAGTCCCGCCCCTAAACGCCCATAGCTACCCTGATCACTTACTTCCACGCTGAAAGAGGGTAGAGAGAAAGAATCGAAGAATTCTATTTTAAAAAGCTGTTGATGTTTATGTAAGCGTTCTTAATTGCTTGTCTAGATTCTAAATCATTTTAGGGTCCTGAATCCTTTCCCCCAACAAGTGAAAACTATGTTGTTAGGTTCTGAAAAGTGGTTCCGCGAAGCAAAGTGAACTCATAACATGTTCTGAGTATCAAACGAGTAGGAAACACGGCCACTGTCTGGTCCTGCTCCATCCTCAAAACGTTGCTATGTTTGAATCCATTATTGCAGGCACCGTGTCAATCCATCCCGCTGAGGGGATTCCTTTTTCAATGATCATATATTTTAATAGCCTGATGTTCTTCTCCAGGGATGATCCCTTCTGATAACATGTCCAAAGTACATAAGATAAAGTTTTCTATGGACTATGGTTAGGTGCCATCGAGTCGACCCTATGCACAACAGAACGAAACACTGCCTGGTCCTGGGCCAACCTCACAATTGTTGCCACACTTAAGCCCATTAATGCCGCCACTTTGGCAATCCATCTCGCTGGGGGTCTTCCTCTTTTTCTCTGACCCTCTATCTTACCATACATGATTCCCTTCTCCAGCAACTGGTCCCTCCTGACAATATGTCCGAAGTATGAGAGACCAAGTGTGGCCATCCTGCCCTCCAAGGAGCATTCTGGCTGTATTTTTTTTTCAACACAATTCTGTTTGTTCTTTTGGCTACCCATGGCACTTTCAATATCCAACACCATAACTCAAATTCTTCTATGGTCTTCCTTATTCACTGTCCAGCTTTCACATGCGTATGAGATTACTAAAAATACCATGGCTTGGATCAGGTGTACTTTAGTCCTCAAACTGACATCTTTGTTCCTCAACACTTTAAAAAGGTCTTGTGCAGCAGATTTGCCTAATGCAATACATCGTCTGATCTCTTGACTGCTGCTTCTGTGAGTGTTGATGGTTGAGCCAAGAAGAATGAGGCCCTTGGAAACGTCAATCTTTTCTCTGTTGATAAAAATGTTGTTTATTGGTCCAATGGTGAGGACTTATGTTTTCTTTACATTGAGAAGCAATCCTTACAGAAGGTTGTGTTCTTTGATCATCATAAGTACTTGAAGTAATTTTCACTTTCAGCAAGCAGATTGTATCATCTGCATATCACAGGTTGTTAATGAGTCTTCCTCCAATCCTGATGACATGTTTTTTCTTCATATAACCCAGCTTTTTGGATTATTTGCTTAGCATACAAGTTGAATAAGTATGGTTAAAGAATACAACCTTGTCGCACATCTTTTTAAATTTTAAAACATTCAGTGTTCCCATGTTCTGTTCAAACAACTGCCTCTTGGTCAATGTACAGATTCCTCAGGAGCACAATTAAGTGTTCTAGAATACTCATACTTTGCAATGTTGTCCATAGCTTGTCATGATCCACACAATCGAAAGCCTTTGTGTAGTCAATAAAGCACAGGTAAACATCTTTCTAATATTCTCTGCTTTCAGCCAGGATTAATCTGAAGTCAGCAATGATATCCCTCGTTCCACGGCCTCTTCTGAATCAGGCTTGAACCTCTGGAAGTTCTCTGTCAATGTATGCGTGCAGCCGTTTCTGTATTACATTTAGTAAAATTTACTCGCATGGGATATCAAAGATATTGTGTGATGATTTTCACATTCTGTTTGGTCACCTCTCTTTGAAATGGACACAAATATGGATCTCTTCCAATCAGTCGGTTTGGGGGCAGGAGAAGTGGAGACAGACAGTGGAGGCTCCTCTGTGGATGCACAAAAAAACTTTGCTTTGCTTTGGTGGAACGGTTTCAGACCTATAGATCTAATATAAAGTGTGGTGTGCGGGTGGGGAGGAGAAGCAGTTTTAGGCGCCCACTGGTGGAGAAGTCTGACTGTGGGGGGCATACACGGACATTTCTGAATCAATTGGGACGCTGCTTGTCGGCCCCTCAGCCTGGGCAGAGATCAGAGGGCAGGGACACAGCCAGGATGATACAGTGAGAAAACCACGAAGAGCAACTTGTGGAAAAAGAGTTATGACGGCTTTTTTTTTTTTCTTTTTTTTATCTCCTCTTCCCTGTTGCACCCTCTCTGCCCAGCCTGGGCTTCTTCAGGTGGGTGGGAGTGCACCCCCAAAAGGGTTCAGCACTATACCCACAGGGTACAAATTTCCCAGGGTGCAAAGAGGAAATCCCTGAAAGCCCCAGTTGTCTCACAAGCTAATCCTTTGGCTGCTTCTTATTACATCTGATTCTGGGATCTAGCCCTAAAATTGTCTCTCCTACTTGGGTGGGAGCCTTTATTCCTACATTACCTAACAAGAGACAGCAGGTCTGACCATACAGCCAAACCATATTTGCACCTTGTAAAACCCCAACATAAAACGCAAGAGCCAACGCCAACTACCATACACGAGGACACAGTCATTTTGAGAATTATGCTGTGCATACACAGATACCTAACTGACCTTCAGAGATAAAATAGTGGACAAGCTTTCTTCCATTCATTTTGCAATATCTATCTGCTTACCTCCATGGTGGCAACTAGAGGAGGGGCCTGAGTGGGTAGATGCCCCCACCCACCACTGGAGGTTTCTACTATGTGTGCACACTGACCTGCACAGCAAAGGCTACTGGACAGTCTGCTACGGTTTAGTTTTTGTGTGCTGGTTTTTGTCTATGCTTTTATTTTATTTTGTTTCAGTTTTTGGTCCTTTTGGTCTTACTTTTTTCCTGGGGGTGGGAGCTTTCTCTCCCTATGTTACCCAAGAAGAGACAGCAATCAATGGCCACATAAGCAAGCTACAAGCATACCCCATAATATCCCACCATCTGGACAGGAGCAAATATCAACTGTTAGGCATTACACAGATAACCAACACTTACTAAGTTAGCTCACAGTTGAATAATAAGAGACGTGAAAAGGGAAGCCTATCTCCAGATCACATCTACCAGGAGACACTCAGTAAGCTGAACAACACAGGAACATACATTCATTTAATCATTGAAAACACATCTAATTATTGAAAATGTTCAAGAAAAAACAACAAAAGATCTCAGCACATGTCCAGAAACAGAAAAGAGTAAGTGAGGGAGGCAGGGCTTGATGGCGGCTAGGGTAGAGGTGCAGTGAGGTTCTCCATTGGCAATACCACAGAATAACAGGCAAAGCAGATTCAGGGCAGAGCTTCAAAACTCGGAACCACATAGC